AATTGGCTTGGCCAGCAACTAGAATAAAGTATATGGGCTTAACATATAAACTGATACTACAGGGGAACAGTAATCAATAGACTAGGGATAACTCAATAATGGTAAATCTTATAATAACAGTTCATAGGTCAAAATAAAGCTTATAATAAGAGGGACACGAATATGAATAGTTTAAATTTACTAAGTATTGTTTGTGCGTGTTGCCTCGATATAGCCTAATTTCACTCAGTGGACGAGTGGATAACGTGATAGTGTTTGAAGCGTACGTTACTGGGTTCGAGTCCCTCGCAGAGTGAACATCAACTCTGAGATTCAGGTACATGCATCTGACGAGTCCCAAATAGGACTAAACGCGCGTCAAACTGGATTCCACTGCTAGCTACTATCCATCTTCCCTTACCATGCTTATGAATAGTTTAGTTACTTACCAATTATACAATAGGAATTATATGCATCATAATGATCCATAAATAATTCTCAAACGTTTCCATTTATAATTCTTATCGAAACATAACAAATAACAAACAGAAAGTATCTAACTGAATTCAGATCTTGGATAACTATAAAAAAAACTTGATAAAATTACATCATTTTAATGATCTATCCTTCAATTACAAGGAGGTTTTGTGCAGATTTTAGTAATTTTATATCGTTGAACTGCTTAGTCAATTGAAGCAAGACCACCATAGAAAACTTGGAAGCACTGGATAGCCGTTTCATTTTATTGTAGGAAACCTTAGTAGTCTAGTGGTTAGGCGCTAATGTGCGAGGCTGATAGGTCCTGAGTTCGAATCTCGCAAGGTGAGATCATGGATACTCACTGTTGAGGAGTCCCAAAGTAAGACGAAACGGTCTTAATATAATGCTACCAGGTTTTACATGTTCGTTTAGCTTCAATTGACTCATGATTTCAACTATATATATCCTTCTATATTGATTATAGAGAAAATGATATTAAACATTGGTCTTTGTTAAAAAGTAAACAAACAAACCCCTTCTGATAATAATCAGGTGCTCACTAGTGACTGACTCCTTGAGGTATTTCCTGGAGTTCTAGTGAGAAGCAGTAACCGGTGGAGTTCAACCAGGTCTGTTGTGAGATAGGAACTCACTGATGACATTGGTGAATGGTTGCTCAATTTCGTGAATCAGTTGAAGTTAGAAATTAACACCGTTGGATGCCAGCTCAGTGGTCTATCGGTTAAGGGCTTCGGCTCGAGACTGGTAGGTCCTGGGTTCGAATCTCGCTTGCGAGAGCAGGTTCGTGGATGCGCACTGCTGAGGAGTCCCATAATAGGACGAAACGGCCGTCCAGTGCTTCCAGGTTTTCGATGGTGGTCTAGCTTCAATTGACTCATGATCTCAACTCTATAAAATACTAAAATCTCCACAAAACCTCTTCTGATAATAAACACCATTTATGTTAATTTTTTTGTGTGTTTTTTTTCTCATAGTAACTAAAATTTTGTTTAAAAATTTAAATAATTTTTATTGATTTTTCTTCATGTTTACTTGTGAAATTTTTTTTCCAGTTTCACTTCATCGTTTTCCTTTTTTTTCTTCTTTTTTTTTCATCATTTACATTGGTAAACATGAAAAAAAAAAGTTTTTTTTTTTTAATTTTTCACTGAGTGTGGGGAACTTCTAATCATTCATCCTTATTATTATGTATTAATTGAATCAACATTGTTTTCTATTCCCAGTCGATTCATTTTTTAACTTATGACTATTAAATTAATTATATGTACATTGGTTTCATTGTATTGAACTTCATCATTATAAAAGTACATTCATAAATGAGTAAACAAAATATTTAATCTATTTGATATTGTTTATTTGATATTTTAAAACTAGAATTGAATAGGATTGAGTTCGAGTCCCAGAGTGAATATTAACTCTAAGATGCAAGCACATCCAGTTAACGAGTCCCAAATAGGATGAAACACGCATCTTGGATTCTACTACTAGTCGCTATACATCTCTCATCATTACTTACTTACTTACGCCCTGTACTCCCAATAAAGCATAGGTTGCCGACCTTTGATTAGCGTATTTATTAGCAAGTTGGCTTTCTACCGGATGGGGTTGTTAACCCCATGCCCGAACCTCCTCCTTTATCTAGGCTTTGGACCGACAGTAGCCCTTAGACGAGCTACAGGCGGAGTTATTTCTCCTTAAGGATATACCGAGGCGATACACGCAGGATGCATATACGCTAAGAAGAGACTGATCATTTGAAGTTCTAAACATCAATGGGAAGATTCAAACAAAACAATATCAAGTGAATTTAAACTTCATCCCATTTCACAAGCAAGTGGCTATCAGGACTCAGTAGCTAAGTGGATAACGTGATGGAGTTGGAAGCGAATGGTACTAGGTTCGAGTCCCAGAGTGAATATGTTAACTCTAGGATGCAGGTACATTCAACTGACGAGTGTCAAATAGAATGAAACACATGTCCTGGATCCCACAGCTAGCTACTTTCTATCTGTTCTAATAATGTTTGTGATTTATGACAATATCGAGACAGTTCATACAGGATGTACATATGCTAAGAAGAGATCAAAGAACTGAATAGCCAAGTTACTTAATTTTGTAATTTATTTAATGATAGAATCCAATTTTTTTTTGAAACATTTATTACTGTATTTTATACTACTGATGTCAATAGATATAAGTAGTAGTACGTATCATCAATCAAATGTCAAATGTCTGGAGGTACAACGTTAAGAAGATCGAAAAAAAATACAACAAGAACACAGAATGATTAGTGTGGAAACGAAGGAACAACAAAGTGTCAGATGATCGATTGACATTTTGCGAATGAAGTATGTGTACTGTATGGTTCTCAGATTTTACTAAGAGATTATGTAATATTGTATGCCAATACATTTAGTTATCCCCCCATTTGTGTTCTTGTTCACCATTACTTACTTAATTACCTACTTACTTTCGCCTGTTACTCCCAATGAAGCATAGATCGCCGACCAGCATAATTATTTCTGGTTAGCGTATTTTTAGTGAGTTGGTTTTCTACGGGTTGGGGTCGCTAACCACATGCCCAACCCTCCTACTTTATCCGGGCTTGGGACCGGCAGTAGCCCCGGGAGGAGCTACAGGCAATGTTAATATTCACCATTACATTATCACTAATTGTTTTAATACATTGATTTGAAAATTCCATTATGTAACCTTTAATTATCTTTTTTTTTGTTTTTTATTGGCAAACAACATGAATTTCCAATTTAGTCGAACTTAATTCAAACTGCAGTTTGGTTGTTCCTTTTTTTTCTTTCGTTTTTTCTTCCCACTCAAAAATCATGTCTAAATCCCAAATAGAGGGATTCATGTTAGATTAAGTAAATGTATACAAATTTGATACATTATGAATATTATTATGAGATTAATCTTGATGTATAACTTAACTGAATCAAAAAAGTTCCTATCAACTTGATAGATACTGGTTACAATTCAGTGATTAGATAGTATTGTAGTGAACAAAACACTGGTTGGGGGACAATCGAATGTATTTAAGCAAAGATTACAGACTATATCAGTAAATTCTGATTACCAAACAATGAACAGTCAATTTGCAAATTAACAGCCAATTGTTTCAATCTTCACTGTTTCTTCTCTTGTTCCATTGCTCATGCATTTTCCAGACGATTGCGCTTCATTTCAGTTCTTTCCTCATCGGTCTTCTGCCAAAATACATTCTATGTCTGACCCACACCAAATACTACTTATGTAGATATAAGTAGACCACACCACAGTATGAGTTCGATTCCAGACCAATTACCTCAGGAGTAATATATATATATAGTTATTCGAATTTGAATATACATAAGGTGTATCATTCCTTTGGACAGATGGTATCCCTTATAAATAGTATCAACTATTATGAAATCTATCTCAAGTGGAGTTTCTCTGACAATCATAAACTTGCATCGTAGCATCATCTTACCCGTGGAAGAGAAACTAACATGGTAATACTTCGGAGGGATTTTAATCAGATCATAGGCTTTCTATCTTAAAGCTCTATGGTTATGGAGAAGTGAAAGTATGGACAAGTAATTTTAAGAGGTAAAATATACACCTTATTAAGGTAATTTGAAGCATAGCCTTGTCTGGACCACAACAAATAGTACAACTTATTATTCTACTACTAGGTGTAAATAAGCCTGGAGTATTCACGAATTAGATAGCTGTTGTATCCTGTCATGTTATTCTTCAACAAAGAGTATCAAAGAAATTGCCAGGAATCAAATATCAGTTTATGAGATTACATGGTAATTATAAACCAGGGAGTTGAAAACCATTGAGACATATTATTAATTTCATTAGTTGAGATCATGAGTCAATTGAAGCTAGACCAACATGGAAAACCTGGAAGCACTGGACGGCTGTTTCGTCTTATTGTGGATTTCCACAGCAGTGCTCATCCACGATCCCGACTCACGATAGTCAAACCCAGGACCTACCAGTATCGCGCGCGATTGCCCAACATCTAGATCACTGAACCGTCATCCAACAGTATTAATATCTCACTTTAACCGATCCACGAAAGTGAGTTACTATCTCAAATATCATTAACCTTAACTTTTTATCAAAATTATGCAATGTCTTTTAGTGGGATTGGTTTCCAGCTATCAAACTTCTGTTTTACTAAAATTCCATTATTCATGGTTTCTTACTGAAATTGGAAGAGTGAGTTAAAAACTCTCAATTTCATGCTAACTTCTTATTGTCTGACAAGTAATATTCGTTCTCCTGTCCAAACAACAGACACTTTGACATTATGCATGGTTTAGGAAGCACAAGAGAAGAAATTTTAGAAATATACGTACTAACCTGGGAATTCAGTGAAATCATGTTAACTATTTTCATTTTTATAAATGTAATATTTGTGCTGATGATGTCGTCCAGAAGGACGACGAAAGCTCCACGACCAAACCATCCAGCTCAGAGAACAAACCCACATCAAAATCAACCCCCTAAGTTACAAATCTTCTCCACCATCTCAAAATGTATTACTTCTTTCTCTTCCTTAAGATCTTGTGTTTTTAAACAATCTTACACCTCTTTATTACACGACCTTATCTTTTCCTCTTCCTATGCTTAACTTCTTTTACCACCTCTACTTTTCTGACACTTTTCATAATAATTTCATCTCACTGTGCACATATAGTGTGTTCACTTGAACTATTAAACATAAATACCAAGTTAAATTTGATCATAATTGACTAGCTAACCTCGATGTTTTTACTTTTTAAACTTAAACTACTTATTTTAATTACAGTAGACAAATACAAATGCATAAAATAATTAGGAGTGAATCAACGTTTCAGAAAAACAGAACATGAAATTAACTTGTAATTCATAATTAAAATTAATACATGAAGCTTTTCAGTTAACGTTTTACATTTTTTACAATAATAATTAGATCTTTATCATAAATCTAATAAAAGATTGTCTAGAAAACAAATTAGAATACAATTAAAGAATAATGAATGAAGCAAGGATGTATAATATCTATGTGTATATATATTCTTTATCAACTACTTTAGTTAGAATGAATGGAATCAAATAGTTTTCGTTACAGTGCGCTTTGCGTTATACTTCAGGAATTCTTTGAGCACCTTCAATGTAAGTAGATCGACCTGAAATAGTCTTATTCCCTCTTTTTTTATCTATATGTTAACATGATATGAAAATGAATAAAAATCTTGATAATATTAATGGTTACAATAATGATATGGAGTATAAGAAAATGTTTTCTTTATCCTTTGTCAATCATCATCATCATCATCATTTTCACCATCGTCATCATCAGTATCCCCGTCTTCATCATCAGTGTCACCGTCATCACCATCAATAGGAACTTGAATAATTCAAGATGGTATATTCGATTTCCTTCGTTTCTCTTCATACCATAACCAATTAATTAATGATATAATAAGTACTAATATTAAAATGACTGTATTCATTAACATTAAAGAATACCATGGATTAGTGTATGAAAAATATGTCTACAATTAATAGAAAATTTGGAAGAAAAAAGAAAAAAAAACATTTATTGGTTATGAACATACTTTTATGCCTGAACATATCATTGATTAATAGTTGAGATCATGCGTCAATTGTAGCTAGACCACCATGGAAAACGTGGGAGCATTTGTTTCAGACTGTTTTGACCTATTATCGGACTCCTCAGCAGTGTGCATTCACGATCCAGTGGAGTTCAACCAGGTCTGTTGTGAGGTAGTAACTCACTGAAAACAATTGTGAATGTTGAAGTTACACATCAACACCGTTGGATGCGGGCTTAATGGTTCAGAGGTTAAGTGTTCGCACGCGGGACTGATAGGTCCTGAATTCGAATCTCGTGAGGTGGGATCGTTGATGCGCACTGATAAGAAGTCTTACATTAGAACCAAATGGCCTTAAATCAGTGCTTCCAGGTTTTCCATGTTGGTCTAGCTTCAATTGACTCACGCTTTCAACTATGATATGAAATTGTCAAGAAAGATTTAATTTATGTCTTATCTCATTAAAATTATTAATTAAACAGAATGAATCAAAAACTATTTAAAGTGAAATTGTAGTTGAACTGAATGAACTCAGTGGCTGAATTGATAAGGCAATGGCATTTGAAGAGAAAGTTACTGAGTTGGAGTTACTCCCAGAGTGAACATCAACGCTGAGATGCAAGTATATCCAGTTGACGAATCCCAAATAGGACGAAACGCGCGTCCTGGATTCCACTGTTATCCAATATCCATCTTTGCTTATAAAACTTGTGGCTTCAGGCAATATCGAAGCAGTGCGCACAGGATGCACAAATGTCACAACAATAGACTTATTGATTGCAGTCCTAAATAACAATGGGAAGTTACAAGTAAACAACACTAAATGAAATTAAAACTTCACCTCATGCACAAGCGAATGGCTATCAGGACTCAGTAGTTATGTTGATAACGTGATGGTATTTGAAGCGTACGGTGCCGGGTTCGAGTCCCAGAGTGAACACCAACTGTGAGATGCAGGTATATCGAGGAGATAAGCCCTAAAATAGGACGAAATGTGCGTCAAACTGGATTCCACGGCTAGCAACTATCCATCTTTGCTTATAAAGAAACAAATTTATTTTTATAAAGATAATGTATAGCTGAGTTGATTAGGCTTGATAATATAGTCAATTCATTTCATAGATAATTTTCTTCAACAATCAACACTTAGTATTCCAATTTGTTTTTCTTAACCTATCCCCTCCCCAACTAAATTAACTCTCAATGAAATCAAGAAAAAAAAACAAAAAAAAATGTTTGGACTAGGCTAGTAATTACCATACATACATAAGTTGATAATACCCATAGGATTATCACTAGGGGGAAAACAATATATCAAAGTATTGACGACTCAATAATCGAAAAAATTCTTTAGCCTTAAAAAGAAATGACAGATATATGATATATGAACATTTGAAATGGAAAATTGCTCAGAATAAATAACAAAATATTGAACAAACCACGAACTATTCTATCATTCTGTATATGTAAATGAGTCTGTAGGGGGCTAGAAGTAAATTTATACAGTATAGAGATGGATATTTAGTGACCCAAGATTTGACTTCAGTTAGATCAATTCTGATTATTATTTATTATGTTCTAATAAGAATTATGAATGATAACTTTTGAGGACTGTTTATGAACCAAGATGATATATAGATTTCGTATTGCATAGTTGCTAAGTAACTAAACTATTCATAAGCATGGTAAGGGAAGATGGATAGTAGCTAGCAGTGGAATCCAGTTTGACGCGCGTTTAGTCCTATTTGGGACTCGTCAGATGCATGTACCTGAATCTCAGAGTTGATGTTCACTCTGCGAGGGACTCGAACCCAGTAACGTACGCTTCAAACACTATCACGTTATCCACTCGTCCACTGAGTGAAATTAGGCTATATCGAGGCAACACGCACAAACAATACTTAGTAAATTTAAACTATTCATATTCGTGTTCCTTTTATTATAAGCTTTATTTTGACCTATGAACTGTTATTATAAGATTTACCATTATTGAGTTATCCCTAGTCTATTGATTACTGTTCCCCTGTAGTATCAGTTTATATGTTAAGCCCATATACTTTATTCTAGTTGCTAGCCAAGCCAATTCGCCTATCCATTATGAGTCATATTTTGATTTTGTTCATTATTCGCTTATTGACCTTGACTGTATTTTTATATGAGCATATATGTGTACACTTCGTATCTTATTCATCGTATGTCTGTCACTCATTTTTGTCCGACTATAAATGTTGATTAACGCTTGCTTAAATCGAGTTGGCTACCCAGCCATCTCCAATACGCATCGTTTTCTCTTCGTTTGCTTTTATTCGCTTCATCACTCTGATTCCCTGGCCAGACCAATGAGTGTAGAAATTATATGTATTCTAATTCCATTCTCGTATTTGACTCGTATTTAACTCCGTTATTAACTAACGTGGATCAAGTCATTTATTACATACGAGGATAGACAGTACGTACGATCAAAAAGGAATCAGATTTAAGCTACTACAACAGAATTGGAGGCCTCGCAGTACGAGCACGACGCTACACCCCCTATTCACAGCCACATTTGACTGAATCTTGTAGAAATGTTGTTTTCTTATTTTATGGTACCATATAGTCTGTTTATTTGGTATATAAACCAAGTATGTCTAAAATATAACGTTTGATATTGCACAGGCTGTTATTGGTATTCTGGACTTAACTGACTAGGCTAGGCAGAAAGCGGAACCGATAAATACTTAAGATTGCTCATATGGGTTTTATGCGTCATTGCTCCGATTGATAAACCACTGATCTAATTGATGATATTATCACGTTATACATTAACACGGCGCTCAGCCTACAAGTTATGACATTATTGAAATACACATGTTGTCAATCCTCTTATATAATCATTGATTTAACTTGTATTGGCGAATAATGGAATTAAATTAATCAAATAAGAGAATGGATTCATGAATATGCATGTTTTGTACATTCATTGATCTAAACAGACAATCAGAGGAATGAAGTGACAGAAGCGAAAAGAATCAAGAGAAGATAGCGAAATGACATAACGTGCAATGGAAAAGGTGTGTGAGCCAACTTCATTTAATCAAGAGTTAATCAATGTTTATCGCCGAATACAAATAAACTATAGACAACATGTGATGAATAGGATAAGAAGTGTACACACATATATACGCTCATTTAAAGACAGTCAAGGTTGATAATTGAATGATTAACAATGTCAAAATGTGAATCAAGTAGAATAAATAAAATAATCTATCCAGAAGATAGAATAAGCTATTTGGGCTTGTATAGCACATTAATTCGGAGATGAAGGTACATCCAACTGACGAGTCCCAAATAGGACGAAACGCACGTCAAACTGGATTCCACGAATACAAATAAACTATAGGCAACATGTGATGAATAGGATAAGAAGTGTATACACATATATACGCTCATTTAAAGACAGTGAAGTATGACAAGTGAATAAATAACAAATTGAAAACGTGACTTAATAAGAATAGATGAATTGGCCTGTCCAAAAAGTAAAATAAGTTATACGGTCGCTTAACATAGCAACTGATAGAATAAATCAAACCAAGCAACACATTATAACAAAAAAAACACATTGCAAAACAGCTCAATCATTTGAGAAGTTAAAACTTTGCATTATCTGTTCTATATTCACTTTGAACAGGAAACTTTTCAAAAAGGTTGCTGCTTAATAAGAAACATTTTGAATATCTTAACTAAACGTATTCATATCAATATATATATATATATCTAATTGAATTCATGAGTCAATTAAAGCTAGACCACCATCGAAAACCTGGAAGCACTGGACGGCCGTTTCGTCCTATTATGGGACTCCTCGGCAGTGCGCATCCACGAACCCGCTGGATGCCAGCTCAGTGATCTATCGGTTAAAGGCTCTGGCTCGTAACTGGTAGGTCCTGGGTTCGAATCTCGCTTGCGAGAGCGGGTTCGTGGATGCGCACTGCTGAGGAGTCCCATAATAGGACGAAACGGCCGTCCAGTGCTTCCGGGTTTTCGATGGTGGTCTAGCTTCAACTTTGAAATATATTAAAATTATTACAATCTCCACAATACCCATAGTTTTATAAATAAATATGTATTCAGAATGATTGGAATGAAAGAAGAAAAAAAACAAAAAACAACTTTCTAATCATTCTCTTTTGATGTTTCAAGTTGAATATGACGAAAAAAAGAAGAAGAGAAAACCGAAATGATTATCTAACTTGAATTTAATGAGTTTTGAAGTGAAATCTTCACAGAGATTCTAACAGGTTCAGGCGGTTTTTTAGAATGTTCTATAAATATCGAATGAATAACTCTGGTTATTTTATATGTTCAATATGTATTAAGTGTACTTCTTTATGATGATTAAACTGTCCAAAATTGTATATCTTTGTAGATGAATATTCTTGTTCTTAATTTACTTCGTCTCTTTTTTTAAATTTTCTAATCTACTTTCTAAAATTATGAAGAATAATTTTCTCTTGACTCATTTGAGGTAAGGATCGGTGTCGTGCAAGGTTGCTTACTATCACCCTTTCTCTTTCACCTGGTGATCGACTGGATCATGAAGATGTCAAGTTCTGGAGGGAAGTACTGGATACAATTGATAGCTAGGATGCAGTTGGATGATGTAGACTTCACAGATGATCTGACTCTTCTATCACACACACAACAACAAACGCAAGAGAAGACGACCAGTGTACCAACAGCCTCAGAAGCAGTATGACTCAATATACACAAAGGGAAAAGTAAGATTCTACGATACAATACAGCACGCATTAATCGAATTAAAAATGACAGGAAAGCTCTGGAAAATGTGAAAACCTTTACATATCTGGGCAGCATCATCGACCATCACGGTTGATCTGATGCAGATGTGAAGACGTGGATCGGCAAAGCAAGAGAAGCATATTTACAGCTGAAGAACATCTGGAACTCAAAACAAATGTCTGTCAACCACTAACAAGATAAGAATTTTTGATACAAATGTCAAGACAGTTCTACTGTATGGGGCGGAAACATGGAGAACTACGAAAGCCATCATCCAGAAGATACAGGTGTTTATTAACAGTTGTCTACGCATGATACTTTGTCTCCATTGGCCAGACACGTTCAGTAACAAACTACTGTGGGAGAGAAAAAACTAGATTTCAGCGGAAGAAGAAATATGGAAAAAAGCGCTGGAAATGGATAGGACACACATTAAGGAAATCACCCAACTGTTTTCCAAAGCCAGCCCTCACATGGAATCCTGAAGGTCAAAGGAGAAAAGGAAGATCAAAGAACACATTACTTCGAGAAATGGAGACAGATATGAAAAGAATGAACAAGAATGGGCTAGAATTGGAAAGGAAGACCGAGGACAGAGTGAGTCGGAGAATTCCGGTCGGCGGCCTATGCTGTATTTTCATCTATTTCAACAGTTGATATTTGGGAACAATGATTATAAATAACTTTTCCCCATTTTATCGATTTCTAGCAAATTCAGAGAATTTTGTTAGACTATCGATGAAAACTTGAAAGTACTTGACGACAATTTTGCTCTAGTATTGGACTCCTAAACAGTATACATCTAGGATCGAGTACGCGGGATTCGAACCGAGGACCTTCGGTCTCACGCTCGAAAACTTAAGCTCTAGATCATTGACCAATCATCTGTCTCACCTGTTATGGCTGAACTTCACTGATTGCTCTTTGAAGTTAGACATATATGCCATTGCATGACAGCTCACTGGTCTGGAAATTAAGCATTCGTGCGTTATTTAAAACTTCTTGGGTTCAATTCGTATTTTAAGATTGTGAATGAGCTCTAATTAGGATGAAACAGCTGTCTAGTATTAACTGGTTTTCAATGGCTGAAGTTTCCTAACTGAAAGAATCGTTACCATGGATTACTATCTTGTAAATCTAGCTTCCCATTACACAATGTATCTTCCATTTCTAGTACAGTAAAAAGCTTCTTTCTCAATAAGTTAGTTAATATTTTAATAATTTAACTGTCAAGAACATTTTTGTATGTATTAACTGGTCTGTTGAACTAATTATCTATTAAAGCTCTAAAGAAATCGTTTTATAAACTAAAAAAGTTTAACAAGATAGTAAGGAATTGTCCGCTTTGAGTATTAAGGAAACTCAGTCAATCAAACACAACATAGAACTTCGTACGTACGTACATCAGTTCGAGTTGCCATACCACATTAGCATAGAGATGAAGTTGTCGATTCTAATCCCATGATGGTAGAAGTAGTAAGAGTATAAGTATTATGTGAAAGATAAGGGTTTGAAGATGTTATTGAAGAAGTATAATAAGGTGAAATAAATTTGGAAAGAGAAAAACGATACGGACATGAAGAATTCAGAAGATTAGAATTTGGGAGGACACAAAGAGTGAATGCACCTTCGCCATTGCAAACGATTTTGAGCCATGTCATTCAAGGTCTCTAACCATCGATTGCTATCATCACGCGAATCCCATCCAAGTAGTCTATTCCTACCAGCATGGCTCATTTCAATTGTCAGTGACTTCATGGATTTGTGCCACGTTTTGGTCTGGCCGCCCCGAACTTTCTTCCAACCTACTCCTACACTATAAAACATTGCCCGTTTGGGCAGTCGGTGGTTGGGCATACGTAACACTTGTCACAGCCATCTCAATTGATGAAGTTTCACTACTTCATCAATCAATTTGTCTTCCTTACCTAGTACCCGTTTCCTAACAATTGCATTACTTACCCGGTGGTCCCAGGATATACGAGCTGGAGCTAAGAGTTCTTTAAAATATGATTAAGTTTTATCAAACTCATTGATGGAAAAGTCACCACAAAATATCCATTTGATTACATGATTACAGATTGAATTAGGTGACAGACTTGAAGTTGAATGACATTAGATGTGTCTGTAAAGCGTAGTGATAACAAACAGTCAATTCAATCATATTCAAAAGTATAGACAACCATGAAAATAGGCACTACTCAATGGCTCAAATAGTCCAGTGATAGCATCTTAAACTGTAGAGCTGAGTGACGCTGATTACGACCTCACAGCAACAAGCACAAAATCTAATTGCTGAGTAACTCATTGATTACTACTAACCATCTAATATACAGTGAATAGTTCATTTGCAAATTATCAATCAACTCTCTCAATATTGACTGTTCCTTCTGCAAATATCCGTCCATCTACTCCGATTATTATTGTTCATGCATTTTCATACCAATTGTGTTCCGTTCCCGTTCTTTCCTTATCCATCTTCTAGTAAAATACATTCAACGCTCGACCATCATTATATACTACTTGTGTGGATATAAGTAGCCCACACCATTTAATTAATATCAATAACGTAACTTTCAATTAATTAGGACAAATCCTAGCTTTTATCATCGGAAAGGTTGATTACAATGCTTGTGAAATAAGGCTATATGGAGGAAGATATGCCAATTAGAGACTGACCAGTTGCAGTCCTAAACATCAATGGGAAGATTCAAACAAACAATACCAATTGAATTTAAACTTCACCCCATTGGATAAGCAATTGGCTATCAGGACTCAGTAGCTGAGTGCATAACGCGATGGTATTTGAAGCAAAAGGTACTGGGTTCGAGTCCTAGAGTGACCATTAACTCAGATACAGGTACATTCAAGTGACGAGTCCCAAATAGGACGAAACGTGCGTTTAAATGTGAAGAACAAACAAACACAATAACTTCCATTGTTGAAGTGCATATAGTGTCCAGTTGCTCATAATTTCATATATCCATGTAAACATTGGTTAATTAGGAGGTATACCAAACTAGATTACTAAAGTTTAGCTTTAGGTATTAAAGATATGTAATTTTAAGAATTAAACACTTTAGTAGTTAACTTCATGAGTCCATCGAATCTATACCACCATGAAAAACCTAGAAACACTGGACATCCATTTCGTCCCATCATAGGACTACTCATCAGTGCACATCTATGATTCCATCCTCGCAAGATTCGAACTCAGGACCTATCAATCTCGTATACTCTATAAAATACATTATATATAAAATCAATTCAATTTACCTCATTTATTTTGTTTGGTGTTTTTCTTGTTGAAATGAAATGATCAACATAATTTCTATTTGAATTCAATGAATCTTTCAGTTTTCTTTGTTTTAATTCGTTATCGTTATTACTATTTATAGTAGTTATAGTAGTATGTTTATATTCATTTAAGTATAATTCCGGTATAAATTCATATAAAGTATATGGCCAACTTATACAACGACGTCGACGACGATCATGATGATGATGATGATGATGATGATACTGATATTGCTGTTTATTCATCAATAATCTATCTTCTTTAATGTTAAAAAGATTTGATTCTATTGAATGCATATTAATTTCATTAGGTTGTATTGTATTACAAAGGCATTTTTCATCAATACTACTCATAGTAGTAGTAGTATTAGTAGTATGGTTATCAATAATAGTAGGAGTATTATTACTACTACTATTAGTAGTAGTAAGTAAAGTATGATAACTATTTGTAAAAATGAAATTTTGTACATCCATATCAGTAGTTAATCTCTTTTTCATTAATATTGTTTTATCTAATGGAATAGTAGAATATTTCGTTTTAGATTGACTTATATCAAATGGAAATAATGAACAATTCGATATAAACGATTGTTGCTGTTGTTGTTGTTGTTGGGGGTGGTGTTGTGATTGTTGCTGCTGGTGTTGCTGTGGTTGCTGTTGTTGTTGTTGTTGTTGATGGTGTTGCTGTCGTTGTTGTTGTTGTTGCTGTGGTTGTTGCTGGTGGTAATGGTGGTGGTGTTGTGATAGTTGCTGTGGTGGTGATGTTTTGCATTGATTATGATAAAAATATTGAAATTGTTTATTTGTTAAACTATGTGTTATATAATTTGAATAGGTAGATTGTAAAATAGGTTTAGGTAATTGTTTTAATGATCCTTTATATATTGAATTTCTTAAATAAAATGGATTCATTTCTTGACTCCATAATATATTTGTATTTGTTAATGGTGTAGTTACATATTTACTTGGGCATATAGAATTTGTATATACTGTAGATAATGTTGGTGTAGATAATGATGATAATGTCGATGATGAGGATGACGTCGACGATGTTGATGATGTCGATGAAGATGACGACAATGTCAATGATGAAGTGGATGATGAATATGATGGTTGAAATTGTTTATTATCAGCAATTGTTCTATTTATAAAATAACGATTATGATCAAAGAGATTTGTTTGTTTGATCATATTCATTTCACAGGGATCTATATAAATGGAATCTTGTATTCCATTTAAAATACGTTTTGATGGTTTCATATATTCAATAGATGTAAATCTTTGACAATTCATGGAATGAATATCATTATCTGTTTGATAGATATGATCATTGGGTATGAAAGAAGATGAAGGCGATAGTTTACTGATAGGTATTTGATAATAGTTTGAATGACATATTGGGTATGATCTTGTTTGAGATGGTGTTGAATGATTATTCATCGTAATTTGTTTACCTTCAGGTAATCCTTGATTCAACAACTAAAATGAGCAAGTAAAAGAAAACCTTTTATAATAACTTAATGAATAAAGCAGAGATGGATAGTGGCTAGCAGTGGAATCCAGGACGCGCGTTTCGTCCTATTTGGGACTCGTCAGCTGGATGTACCTGCATCTCAGGGTACTGGGTTCGAGTCCCAGAGTGAACATCAACTCTGAGATGCAGGTACATCCAGCTGACGAGTCCCAAATAGGACGAAACGCGCGTCCTGGATTCCACTGCTAGCCACTATCCATCTCTGCTTACCATGCTTGTGAATTAAGGTATATCGAGGCAATACGCACAGTATGCACATATACCAATTAGAGACTGACCAGTTGCAGTCCTAAACACATCGATGGGAAGATCCAAACAAACAATACTAAGTGAATTAATGAATAAAGGATGAAATTTCTGGAATACTAGTTTGATATATGGAATTTTTAATTTAGTTGGGAAATTTAATTCATTCACTTGATGTTCATAAATTGTTTACAATCAAAAGCGATCATGTGTTCATTAGCAACTAATTACAATAAGTTATTTGAATAAGTTTAGTTAGAAGCAGTGATCAGTGAGATCTAATCACATTGGATGTGAGTCAGTTAGTTACTAATAGGACTGATAAAAAGTTGAAGTTAGACATTAACACCGTTGGATGCCGGTCAGCTCAGTGGTCTATCGGTTAAGTGCTCTGGTGCGAGACTGGTAGGTCCTGGGCTCTAATCTCGCAAGTGCGAGATCGTGGATGCGCACTGTTGTGGAGTCCCATAATAGAACGAAACGGCCGTCCAGTGCTTCCAAGTTTTCCATGGTGGTCTAGCTTCAATTGACTCATTATTTCCACTATGAAAATACTAAATTTCCACAAAACCCCTTCCTATAAAAAGTTGTATAATATTACGAATTAATTGAATTTATAAATGAGAGTCGCTGAACTCTAACTAAAGAGCCTAAGTTCACTTAGTATTACTTGTTTGAATCTTCCCATTGATGTCTTAGGACTGCAACTAGTCATTCTCTTATTACTGGCATATGTGCATACTGTGCGTATTGCTTCGATAGTTCTGAATGACATCATCAGAACAAACTTCCATCCATCTCAGAGAACAAAACTCCATCAAAAAAAGTATTCAGTAATTCATAGTTGATACTTACCGATGATTCATATCGTTCCAGAGAATGATGATGACCCCTTGGAACTACAGACTGTATATATGAAGTTGAACTACCTTCATAAACATCATCGTCATCATCTGTGTCATCAGTAGGACCAAGAATAACAGGAGATGCATTCTCACCACCATTATCATCATTATCTTCATGTCCATCATAAACTATTGGCATTTGATATTGATTAGGATCATATGAATTTGAATTATCCCACTGATTTACATTTCGTAAAAAATATAACTTCTTCAAATTTGTAGAGCATTCTCCTGGTTGAATAGGATCAGATTCATTCAATACTGAATGATGATAATAATAAGGTGCTGATTGAATTGTCACTGAACTTAATTCAGACTTTTCACTGATACTTTCAACATCTGGTACTATTCCATCAATAGTATCTATTTGATATGAATGAATACATTTTGGTGATAATTGGTGTTGTGGTAAAGATACTTTTAATTGTCTTAAATGAAGATCATTATCATCTTGTTTACTAACTGCATTCAATGGTATCCAGTATTGTTGATTGAAATGAGATTTTAATTTTTTAGAGTCTTCAGTATGATAAGAACTATAATAATAAAAAGAATATAGATGTACATTTAATTAAGAATATCTGGAGGATGTTTATAGAAAATGTTAAATTATAAGTAACTTACTAACTTCACAGTCAAACTGACAGGTCATGGGTTCGAATCTCGTGAGACGAGATTGTGGATGCGCACTGCCACTGAGGAGTCCCACAATAGGACGAAAAAGCCACCCTGTGCTTCCAGGTTTTCCTTGATTGTTTACCTTCAATTAACTCATAATTTCAACCATAAAATTACTGAAATCTCTACAAAAGTCACTTTTGAGTCAAACAATCATTGAAAATTGAGATGTACTAAATAGCCACTTCGTACTTGTAATTAAGGTTTTCAAATTGTTTATTAATTATTTATTTAAACACATAAATATTGGTACAAAGAGGCACCAGATATGTATGCGCTGTACAAATTTCACTTGATTTGTGTGAGGGCTGTGATACTGCCCAGGTGCCCAAACTGAAGCAGGTGGTTTTCTTAGGGAACCACACCCTGAGCCTTTGACCTTAAGGTCTGATCCACAAGGCTGTGGAGCATCGTGAGGAGATGCAGTCCCATGGTAACCGGTGACCAACTATTGATTCATACGTTATTTATTCCCTCTGGATACTGAAGCCAGCCCAATTGCACAATTAGGTTTTCCAACTTTTCTAGGTGAACTTTCCGTGTCCACCAACCAGTTTAAAGTGTTTGACATTCGCCTTTCGTCCTTTCAATTAAGTTAACTACACCCCGGCCACGAGAAGGCGGTGAGAAGGACTCCCCTGGCGTAGGCTATATACGCTTGGCCGTATGATAGCATTTGGAACGGGAGATTTGACTTTCCCCACTCTCGGTCGTACCAGGACATTTGCGGGCAGGTTTTCAAATAATGAAGAAGATTCGTAATTCTGATGGATGATTTACATGGTTATATTGTATATTTTAATTGAGATGGTTGGTGAGCTGTTTCATAATCATTCCATCCTATCCATATAAAGTATGAATGGATGATATTGTTCAGAATGAAACTGGAACTTTCTCAATTAAAATAACTGACTTAAAGAACACAACATTTAAAAAATTTCGACTACCGTTTCAAAATCTTCATCGACAAACTCAAATAAAAGATCCAACTCATGACTATGGATAGAATAGATTACATAAGTTATTTATTATCCAGTAATATTGTATTGAACAAGAACACAATTAGGGGGTCATCGAATGTGTTTGAATAGAAAATTATAGAATATCTTAGTAAAATCTGACACTTGATTGTCTCTTCGGTTCCACGCTAATCATTCTTTGTTCTCATTTGCTTTTCTTTTCGATCTCCTTAACCTTCTACCACCTAGTATTTCACTTTCCATTGATGATACATGCTACTTATATATAACAACATCAATAGCATACACTATAACATAAGTGAAAAATTTCTATAAAATGAAACTGAAAACTCTGTTACAATTCGAAGTCAATAAAATTAATTTTTATGAAGGGGTTTTTGTGTAGATTTTAGTAATTTTATATAGTTGAGATCATGAGTCAATTGAAGCTAGACAACCATGGAAAACTTGGACGGCCGTTTCGTCCTGTTGTGGGATTCCTCAGCAGTGCGCATCGATTATCCCACTTCGCGAGATTCGAACCCAGGACCTAACAGTCTCGCGCGCTATCACTTAGCCTCTAGACCACTGAGCCGGCATTCAATGATTGCTCAATTTTGTGAGTCACTTGAAGTTAGGAATTAATACATTTGGAATCTGGCTCAATGGTCTAGAGGTCATGCGTTCGTGCACGAGACTGATATGTTATGGGTTCGAATTTCGCGAGGTGGGATCATTGATACTCACTGCTGAGGAGTCCCACAATAGGAAAAGCTGACCATCCAGTCCTTCCAGGTTTTCGATGGTGGTCTAGCTTCAATTGACTCATGATCTCAACTATATAAAATTTATTTTTATAAACTCTATTAGGATCATAAACATGCACCGTTTAGAAGCTCCATACTAGAACAAAGAAAAAGAAACCAACCGAAGTTTACCAGGTTCAATGGACAGTAATCAGAAACTAACATAAGCTACAATGATTTCATAAATAATCATAGATGATTTAATAATCAGTGTTTAAATTCCTCCTCCTCCTCCTCCTCCTCTCTCTTTCTCTCTGAGAGGAAATTATGCAAAAAATTACAAATGTAAATGAAATGTATGTGTGTGTGTGTGCGTGTGCGTTTGTCTTAAGATTATCATTTTAGGCAACTACATTTTTATGGTTTCTTGTGAACATTGTTACAATGAGACGTCTGTTTATTTGTCTGTCTACCTATCAGTTTATTTGTATACGTTGACTTCATATCTTTGAGTTGGAATTCTTAACATTGATGTGTTAGTATAATGGAATGTAAGTATATGGTCAATGTATCTCTGTACTTCGAATAGAATAGAAAGATTGGATTTAATGTAGAGGTGTATCAATTTCATTTTACATAACTCTGGATGTTCTTATTTGATTGTTTATTCCTTTGAGACTTCAGGTATTGTTACACAAACATACACTTATCCAATTATATATATACATATATAGTAACTTGGTATTATTTGCTTGTATCTTCCCATTGTTGTTAAGGTCTGCAATTGATCAGTCTCTTCTTGGCATAAGTTCATCCTATGCGGACTGCCTCAATATTGCCTTAAGTCACAAGCTTAATAAGGAAAGATGGATAGTGGTTATCAATGGAACCCAGGACGCGCGTCTCGTGGATAAAGTGATAGCGCTTAAATCGAACGCTACTGGATTCCAGTCCCGGAGTGAACATCAACTCTAGGATACAGGTATATCCAGCTGACGAGTCCAAAGAAAACAAAACGAGAGTATTAGATTCCACTGCTAGCCACCATCCAATTTTGCATTATATAGACTGAAGTTGGATAGTGGCTAATAATGGAATTTAGCGGGACTGGAACTTATTGTGTTTCGCTTCAATCACTGACGTATTATTTATATCAGTATAAAAATTTTTGACTAGCTGGTAGTATCAATACAATTGGACTAAAATGCACATATCTTAAAAGAGACTTTAATGCTTAGACAGACTTAATCTTCCAAGTTTCCAATAGTTGACAATAGAAATCAAAAACTGGGAGATGTGAAGGAAGCTTTAATTTGAAGGCAGATCATGTATGAAAAAAAAAGGTATTCATGTTTGACGTCCGAAAACTTGAGACGTTTCTGGATGGTAAGATAAAATTTTCATCGCAATTAACAAGCTGTCCAATCAAATAACAAGAATATAATCTATAATTTAGGAAGCTTCTGAAGAACGTTAATTTCTAAAAGAGTTTTCAGAATTTTACTAACTTTTAGTGTTATTTTCAAAGAATTAACGAGAGCTCTAATCAGTTACATTTTTTGATGTTTTATTTGTGTAAAAATTTCTAATTGTAAATTCTTGCCCCCAAATGTCATGATACATTCGAAGATGAGGGGAGTCAACTCTCCTTCACATGGTCACGCGTATACAATCACTGTCAGAGAAATCTTATTCACTACTTTCTCTTAAATGAAATGTTGTTTACGAAACTGAATGGATGAAAAGCAAATATCCGACGCTTTAACAAAGTTGATGAACACGGGAGGTACATCTAGAGGAATTGGAAAACTCTGATTCCAAACCAATGGTGCACAAGGGCTCCAGAATCCTGAGTGAATAAATGGTGTATGTACCAATCGTTGGTCACTGGCTACCAAGAGACTGTATCTTCTAATGTTGCTCCACTTTCTTCTAGAATAGACCTTTAGGTTGAGGGCTCCGGTTGTGGCCTCCCAAGAAAACAACTTGCTTCAGTCTAGGCATCCGGGCAGTATCACAACTCATACACAAAATAAAGTGACTTGTGTGTCCCATATATATTCTGTGCCCCTTTGTACTAATATTTATGTATTCAAGTAAATAAATATTTATTTATTTACTCTTCGTAAATTTAGATTATTTTAAAAGCAGTTATTAACGAATGCTTGAATATCATAATATAATGTACTACTTGTAAATAAATACTATCAGTGAAATACAAAACTCCTGTTTTATCCTATATAGATTAAGTCCAACTGATTACATCTAGCTGACGAGTCCTAAATAGGACGAAACGCACGTCAAACTGGATTCCACTGTTATCCACTATCCATCTTTGCTTACCATGCTTGTGAATTTAGGCTATATCAAGGCGATATGTACAATATGCGCATATGCCAATTAAAGACTGACCAGTTAAAGTCCTAAAACATCAATGAGAAGATTCAAACAAACAATACTAAGTGGAGTAAGTCAATTGTTTACATTACGACTTTAAGTCATTACCTCTCAATTGGTGGTCGTTATAACTCAATACATTACTAGATAAAACATTGACATTTAAAGTGAAAGTTATTAGAGATTTGAATCTCATTGTCAACCAATCAATATGAAGTACGAAGGTACAACAATCTGGAGATAAACCATCATATTCTTCAGATTACAATGTTAATCATTATATAAACTTGATTACAACTCTATCTTAATTACTAACAATATGGAAACACAAACAAAATCGATTCATTCTATTCTATATTACTAACGTTAATAAGTGTAGTGAGTGAGTAAGTAAGCATGTAAGTAAGTAAGTAAGTAAGTAAGCAAGTAAGTAAGTGAGTAAGTAAGTAGGTAAGCAAGCAAGTAAGGGAGTGAGTAGGTAAGTAAGTGAGTAACAAGGCAAGTAAGCATAGAAGGAAGGAAGGAAGTAAACAAGTAAAGAAGTAAGTTTATTAAGTAAGTAAGTAACTGTAGTGAGTGAGTAATTAAGTAAGTAACTAAGTAAAGTCAACTCACCTATTTGATCGATTCAATTGTTTAGGACTAATTGATAGCTTACGTCGGGCTAATATCATTTGTCTTTTCTTTAATAATTGTGATTTTATTGGCATTTTTTCATGATTATTATTATGATTAATTTTTAATTTTTTAGCTTTTGGTGATAATGATAATGAAGGTATATAATATGATGATTGATTTAATCTGAATAATTGATCTGGTTCACTAATTCTAAATGATTTTAATGAAGATGATAATGGTGATATATATACTACTGTTGTTGTTATGGGATTCTTATTTAATTGCTTATTTATAGATGATTCCTTTTTCATAGTTTCTAAGGGATAATAGGATATAGAATGCTTCTGCTGCTGCTGCTGCTGATGATGATGATGATGATGATGAGGAGGAGGAGGAGGAGGAGGATGAGGAGGAAGAGGATGAGAAGGATGAGGATGATTCAGTGTTTCAATGGAATATGTATATGTATCATTTGGATCTATGGATAAATAACCAGAATCTTGGGTTGAATTCATATTTAATTTAGGTGGATGATGGGATGATATAAATTGATTACTATTATTAGTAGTATTGTTTATTTTATTTACTACAAATTGTTGTGATAATTTACATTTTTTTATTGATTGAATTTTCTTTTCTCTTTTTTCTTCTTTTTCTTTTTTTTCTTTTTCTCCTTCCTCTTCTTCTTCTCCTTCCTCTTCTTCTTCTTCTTCTTCAATTTGTTGTTGTTTTAAATTTGTTTGTAATTGATTCATTAATGAAATTTCCGTTTTATTTTTTGATTTATTTATTGAATCATTCAATAAGGAAGAAGAAGATTTTGGTATATGAGTTAATGGATTCAATGAAATACAAGTACTAGGTAAAGTAATTGATGAAGTTACTATGGAAATTGTTTTCTTAACATGATGAATATATTCTTCAGAAGGAGTTTTCAATGAATTAGATGATCTGGTATAAGATTTTAAATGATTCAATGATTGTTGATATGATGATTTATTCACCTTTAAACAAGATAAATAGATACATAATAAAATATTATTGTAGACAAGGTTACAGAAATTTAATCACAAACTGACATACGTTAAATAACCATGGAAATCTAAGAAGGACTGATTAACTATTTCTTCAAAGTATACAGTTCCTTATTCAGTGAGATGTGTCTATCTCGTCACAATTGATTGAGTACAGGACATTTAGATGTTTAATGTTAAGACAACGGAATGGGCATTAAATGCTTTATGAGGACGTCAATATCTAGAGGGAAGCACCGAATACAATAGAATAGCTAGGATACAGCTGGACGATTTAGACTTCACAGATGATCTGGTTATTCTATCAAACACGCAACAACAAATGCAGAAGAAGACAACCAGTGTAACAGCAGCAGTATGTCTCAATTTAAAAAAAACGGAAAAGCAAGACTCTCCGATAAAATACAGCATGCACCAATCTAATTTCACTTGATGGAGAGGCTTTGGAGGATGTGAAAACCTTTACATATCCGGGCAGCATCATTATTGAATACGTTGGATCTGATGTAGGTGTGAAGACGTGGGTCGGCAAGCCAATAGCAGTATATTTATAACTGAAGAACATCTGGAACTCAAACAATTGTCAACTGAAAACAAGATCAGAATTTTCAATACAAATGTCAAGACAGTTCTACTGTATGTGGCGGAAACATGGAGAACTACGAAAGCTATCACCCAGAAGATACAAGTGTTTATTAACAGTTGTCTAAGCAAAATACATCCGTTGGCTCGACACTATCAGCAACATTCTACTGTGGGAGATGTTATATTTTGTGGAGAATTATGAATGGTAACTTTGAGAGCTACTTATAGACCAATATCATATGTGTATTTCCTAATGTATAATTGTGAGGTTGTAGTATCACTTTATATGTTAAGCCCATATACTTTATTCTAGTTGCTGGCCAAGCCAATTCGCCTGTCATGAGTCATATTTTGATCTTGTTAATCATTTGCTTATTATCATTGACTATACTTTTATATGAGCATATATGTGTACACTTCGTATCTTATTCATCGTATGTCTGTCACTCATTTTTGTCCGACTATAAATGTTGATTAACGCTTGCTTAAATCGAGTTGGCTTCCCAGCCATCTCCAATACGCATCATCTTTCGCCTGGATCTCGAGTTGGCTTCCCAGCCATCTCCAATACGCATTGTTCTCGCTTCGCTCTCGAGTTCGCTTCCCAGCCATCTCCTTTGCGCATGATCTTTCGCTTCGTTCGCTTCATCACTCTGATTCTCTGACCAGATCAATGACTGTAGAAAATATATGTATCCTAATCCCATTCTCGTATTTGACTTATTTAACTCCGTTATTCACCAACGCGGATAAAGTCATTTATTACATACGAGGATAGACAGTACGTACGCAGCACAAAGTAATCAAACTATTCATATTCATGTTCCGCCTATTATAAGCTTAATTTTGACCTATAGACTATGAATTACACCTAGTCTACTGATTACTGTTCCCCTATTCACAGCCACATTTGACCAAATCTTGTACAAATATTATTTTCTATTTTATGGTACGATGTGATCAGTTTGTTTGGTATATAAACCCAGTATGTTTGAAATATAATGATTCACACCTCAGAGGCCGTTCTGAACTTAACTGGCTGGGCTAGGCAGATAGCAGGACTGACAAGTACTTTAGATCGCTCGTACGGTTTCCGTGTGTCACTGTTCCAATCGGTAATTCACTGCTCTCTCATTGGCGATCTTATCACTTTCATATGTTAACAGGGCATCCACACGGCCACAAGATATAACAGTTAGGGTTCACAAGTTATAGGAAACTGGTAAAATGTTTTGATATATTCATTTATACCTGAATTCGATCATCCAGCAGAACAATTTATCGCTCCCTTCTGAGAACCAACAAAAGGCAAATATGTGAATCATATTATTGTTTCTAAGTATCCTAAAATGATCATATTCCCAGCCTTATGAGTTAGTAGATCCATAGCTCATCATGAATACTAAAAACTAATGAGTACTTCGACACCTCTACTTCCTACGGAAAAAAGTGATCCCCTAAACTATTTTGAATCAACAATAATTACTTACCAAACTATTTATATAAGGATCCATTGGCGTTTTACACATATCTATTATATCACCAGTTGATGAACTCATTTGTTTAGTTAACATTTCAATATTTCTTTCCATTGATATACCTTTCAATTCAACATCTTCATTAGAAACTTCTTTTAATGGTGATATTAATCTATCACTAGGTGAATAACTTCGTGTTATACTTGGAATATGTTTTTCAACATTTGATAATGTTTCATTTATGAATGTTTTATGTGGTGCAGAAAATGGACGAATAAATTGATCCGTTTTTGTTATTGTTATTGTTGGTGGTGGTGTTAATGATGATGATGATGATGTTGGTGGCACTGGAACTTTCGGTAATCCATTACTACTTATTATCGGTTTTACAAATTGATGTAAACGTGGATTATTCAAATTTGCAAAACATTCAAATAGATCCATGGTCGATTCATCTACTCGATCCATTGAATTCGGTGTAGAGTCACGTGATAAGAATTTACGAAAGAATTTACGTCTTTTTTGAGAATGTTGTTGTTGTTGTTGTTGTTGTCGCTGTCGCTGTTGTTTTAAATCTTGTATATTTGTCAATGAATTTGTAGAAGGTTTTATCATTGGATATGATTGTAATTGTTGTTGTGGATATTGTCGTTTTAAACGATCATGTATAAGTGGTTGACTTGTTTGATATTCAGATAAATGAGATGTTAGATCTGTTACTAATGCTGGAGAAGAAGAGTAAGATGATTGAGGAATGGGCAAATTTGAAGAAGTCGGTATACAACCCGTAGAAATATTTAAATTTGAATTGGATGAATACAATTTTGGAGATTTTACTTCGTTCAAGTTGTCAATGACATTGATATCATATTGACACTTCCTTCTCCATTCAATTCCTTTTTAGAAAAAAATTTAAAAAAATGTTGAAACTTTAAGCCATATTCATGAGAAGCGTTTGATGAAAGGTATGAGAAATAATGAGATAAGCTAGTGATTATGTTCTAGGTTTCCTGGAAAATGTTAGCAGTGGAATACAGGACGCGCGTCTCGTGGATAGCGCTTGAAGCAAACGGTACTGGATTTTAGCCCCAGAGTGAATATCAATTCTTGGATGGAGGTACATGGAGGTACGCTAGTGATCAGTTATTTTTATTGATTCATTTTATTTAGCCACATATTACGTATGCCTGAACACCGATCACCACGACGCGCAATGCTGAGTAGTGTTGGAGATGATTGAAAGAAGGTTAGGGACGGCTAAACTAAAACGTGGCATCAGTCTTTGAACTGACTAACTTCTAGTCAGAGCCATGTCGATACATACAGACTACTTGATTGGGGTCCATGTTACTATCGTAATCAATGTTTGAAAACTCTAAGTGACATGGATAACAGTGGCTTAGGTGTATACACTCTTTGTCCTCCCTTAAATCGTGAGGCTAAATTTGCTTTAAATCTTTCTTTCTATGAACTAATTCTTTCTTCCTGTACTATATCCTTATACACAACCTTTCCTTTATACATTACTACTGTGAATAGAGTGTTGATCATGTTGTTCTATTGAGGTGTGCCTGGTCCTACATTGTAGTTGACTGGATAACCGACAATGTATATAAACACTTTTGAGCTGAACTGTTGAAAAAAAAAGAATATTACTGATACTGGAGAGATTTTAACAAGATTTTATTTATTATCTACTAGTGTCATCTAAGTCTCAAGTTTCGTTTTGTTTCGAACTCGTCAACTGGTGGTACCTACATCCTATTGTCAGTATTGACACTAAAACTTCAAAGAGTAATATATATTACCCACTTGAAAACACTTCTTTTTATGGCGTTTGATAACATAGTCTAGTTGCTTACCGTGTCCATAAAATATTCATCACTTTATTCAATATTAAATGCTTTCATACAGTGGGATATTATAATTCAATACAAAATGTTATGAAAACTTCTGTTTAATCAAATATCCGGGATGATATTTTATGCAACAATGAAACGGACACTTCGTCGTAGTACGGGACTCCTCAACAATGGGCATCTACGGTCTCGCACGTGAGATTTGAACCCGGGACTTTCAGTCTCATGCGTGAACACTTAACCTCTAGACCACTGATCCGGCATCTAACAGTATTAGTGTCTTACTTCGATCAACCTTGACCAGTGAAGTTAATCCGTGTCAGACAATGAAAGATGATCGCACGATTTCGTGTTTTGGTTAAAGTTAGACATCATTTACACCGTTGGATACTGGCTCAGTGGTCTGGAAGTTAAGTTTTCATACGTAAGACCAAACATCCTGAGTTCGAATTCCATGTGCGAGTTCGTGAATGCGTACTGCTGAGGAGTCCCACAATAAGACGAAACGGTAGTCTAGTACTTTCAAATTTTCCATGATGGTCTAACTTTAGTTGACCCATGATTTTAACTATTAACATCGTGTTTTTGTTTATTATTCAGAAATGAACTTTTTTTTTTAAATTTCTTATTTGTCATCTCAAACTTATAGAATGAAACTTGCATCATTTGTTTACACTTACAAGTTGATTAGATTTCGTGTAATAGCTAACATAGAAATCTAGGATTTACTTTTATTTAGTTATTAATTAACTTAAATCTTTAAACTATTCAACATCACTGACATTTAGATTGACAAGTCATTAAATGAAAATATGAAAACTAATTGAGTATTAGTGAATCTAACTTATAGTGTAGGTTACTATGTTAAGTCCATATAAATTATTCTAGCTTCTGAACAAGCTAGTTTATTTATTCTTTCTGAATCATACTTTGACCTTGTTAATTATTCAATTTTCACAGTTGAAATCATGAGTCAATTGAAGCTAGACCACCATCGAAAACCTGGAAGCACTGGACGGCCGTTTCGTCCTATTATGGGACTCTTCAGCAGTGCGCATCCACGAACCTGCTCTCGCGAGCGAGATTCGAACCCAGGACCTACCAGTCTCGAGCCGAAGCCCTTAACCGATAGACCACTGAGCTGGCATCCAACGGTGTTAATGTCTAACTTCAACCAATCCACGATATTGAGCGACCGTTCACCAAGAGAGATATTTCCTTGAGTTCTAGTGGGAAGCAGTGGCCAGTGGAGTTCTACCAGGTCTGTTGTAGAGATATCATCTCACTGAGGACAATTGGTGAACGGTCGCTCAATATCGTGGATTAGTTGAAGTTAGACATTAACACCGTTGGATGCCAGCTCAGTGGTCTATCGGTTAAGGGCTTCGGCTCGAGACTGGTAGGTCCTGGGTTCGAATCTCGCTCGCGAGAGCAGGTTCGTGGATGCGCACTGCTGAGGAGTCCCATAATAGGACGAAACGGCCGTCCAGTGCTTCCAGGTTTTCGATGGTGGTCTAGCTTCAATTGACTCATGATTTCAACTGTGAAAATACTAAATTCTCCACAAAACCCCCTCTCTCAATTATTCAATTATCAATCTTGACTGCCTTAAAATGAGAGTATATACGTGTATACTTCTGATCTTACTCATTATATGTCTGTAGCCTATTTTTCTGTGACTATAACTAACGGTTATTGCTTGATTAAAAGAAGTTGACTAACACGCCTTCTCCACCGCTCGTCATTTTGCTTCACTATCTTCTAATCGATTCATTAATCTCAGTTCCTGTCAAGATCAGTCAGTGTACAAAATATATATGTAATTAAAAATTCTGTTTTCGTATTCGACGCAGATTAAGTCAGTGAAATATAAGAAGATAGCCGACATGTGTATTTAGATGACAATCATACAATCTACTTGGAGTCAGATAAAAGGCCACTAAAAAAATGTAATATCATATTGTAATTCATTTGCCAAAGATAAGTTTATACACCTAAACTAAGCATATTACTTTCGTAGAAGATCTAATGTTTTGAAGAAGAAAAAAAACTTGTTGTTTACTTATGTGACAAATGTGCACTCAACTATTTGACCAACTATCAAGAACACCATATGACCAGAGTGAGGTGTATCGTGACAAAAATCAGAGGCACCCAGTGACCAATTACGGTTTACTTCCACCATAGATATATCAAAATTCTAATAACCAGCTGTCTACACGATATTATATCTGGAAGGGGGGTTTCAGATCAGTGGGTAATTGATTAAAAGTCTAATGTTTTAAACATTAACTCATAGAATCATAGTCAATCATGTCGACAACTTAAATGATGTAAAGATGTAGTTTTGAATATATTATTTATTTGTTTATTCATACACATAAACATTGGTAGAAACGGGTACTAGATACATATGCGCCACACAAATCAAATGAGATTTTGTGTGAGGACTGTGATACTGCTCTGGTGCCCAAACTGAAGCAGGTGGTTTTTTTTGGAAACCACACCCGGAGCCTTCGACCTAAAGGTTTGATCTACAAGGCTGTGGAGCATCGTGAGGAGATGCAGTCCCATGGTAACCGGTGACCAACAATTGGTTCATAGACCATTCGTTCCTTCAGGATGCTGGAGCCCATGTACACCATTGATTTGGAATCAAGGTTTTCCAACTCCCACAGGTGGACTTCCCGTGTCCACCAACCCGATTAAAGGGCCGGACATTCGCTTTTCGTCCTTTCAATTTCGTAAACAACATCCCCGAGCACGAGAAAGCAATGAGTAGGACTTCCCTGGCAGAGGCTGTATACGTGTGGCCATGTGAGAGCATTTCGAGAGGGAGAGCGGACTTTCCACACTCTCGGCCGTACCAAGGCATTTCGGGACAGTTCTGAATATAAATAAATAATAAATCAATATTATATAACAATTACATGATAGGATTCATAATTTACCTGGTTGATGAAATTGTGGTTCTAATTGATAAGCTAATTCTCTTGCTTGATTAGATAAATGTAATGCTTTCTGTATAATAGATATAGCTAGATCAGCTGCTTTACGAGCTTTCAATGCACTAAAACACAAATAATATGAATTATATGGATGATAAATATTCATCAAAGGTAACGTACTTGCATTGAATCTTGAAAACTAGAGAGTCAAATACAAACGAAAATTGACCGGTGATCTCCATTTCAACATTAAAAAACATGAAGTTCAGCGAATAGATCTCTTTTCAACGAATTTATTGTCAAGCTGTACAATTGTTTGTTTGTTTAAGTACTAGTTCCGTGAGGAAATGTGAATGAGAAATAGTCAAGATGACGTAAGAGAAGGATTATAATACTAGATTAAGTAATACGAATAGTAACAATAGACTTAATAAGTTAGTAACGAATAGTAATGTGAATGCAGTAAGACGATTAAAATGTTATGATTACAATAACTGTAGGTTATTAAAGGTAATAGAGGTGCAAAAAAGGAAGTGATATCATTAGCAATTATGAATACAGTCATGAGAATATGATACATCAGTAGAGGAAGAAATGCAGTAATATAAATATATAAAGGACCAGGTAACGATAACGATAGGATGTGCTTCTTTTGTACGCATACATCTGGCTTGAGCTAATGGATGGTACGATCTTTGGCTATATTTAGGACTTAGATATGAAGAAATCTGGCATGTTTGGATGAATTGTATATACAACCTTAAAATCAAACTGTGGATTAATAGAATGATTACAGTTGATTAGAAGTGCAAGTATAGAACTCTTAACTGCTTTCCTCTCACCCTCGTAGAACCACACTGGGAAATGTTCCCGTATCCAAGTTGAAAACGAGGGCTATCTACGGACAAAGTACCTTGCTCCCCAGGAGCAGGTGAACTGGTAGATGTACATACGATGGTACAGCTTGATAATAAATTTGTTGAAAACAGATCCCTTCACTGAACAAGCCAAAATGTCGAAAAAGAGAAACATTTCTGAACTATTCTATAATAGATTATTTAGTTCATAATATTTTAATACGAGATTTTATTCAACTCATTAACTATTAACAAATATTGGGGTATCTGTGGAGATTTTAAGTAATTTTTATATATATGCTTCAAATCATGAGTCGACTGAAACTAGACCACCCTAGAAAACCTGAGTGCACTGGACGGGCGTTTCGTCCTCTCGTGGGACTCCTCAGCGGTGCGTATCCACGATCACGCCTCACGAGATTTGAACCCAGGACCTACCAGTCTCGCGCCAGAGCATTTGACCGAGGCAGGATCGTGGATGCGCACTGTTGAGGAGTCACACAATAAAACGAAATGGTCATACAGTCCTTCTAGGTTTTCTATGGTGGTCTAACTTCAATTGACTCATGATTTCAAGTATATATTAACATATACGTTTATACATTTACTGTGGTGAACAAGAACACGACTGGGGACAATCGAATGCATTCTAGCACAATATTACAGAATATCTCATTAAAATATGTGAACCATATATTGAACAATTAATTTGCAAACTATCAATCAGTTGTTTCAATTTTGATCATTCCTTCTGCAAATATCCGTCCATCTACTCCGATTATTATTGTTCATGCATTTTCATACCAATTGCGTTCCGTTCCCGTTCTTTCCTTATCCATCTTCTATTGAAATACATTCAATGCCTGACCATCGTCATATATTACTTATGTGGATATTAGTAACACACATCACATTAATATCAATTAATTATGTATTTATAACGACAGTGACCTACTATGTCATTGAAGAAAAATGAAATCAGTATTCGTGAAAGAAAATTCCCTTTTTTTCCTTATAAACAAGTTTTTCCGTTTCAATTTCTCTTGATCCGACTCTTTTTGACTATATTTATGACTTTTAAGGAGGTTTCTGTTGAAATGAAGTGACTAGACATACTTACTTGCTTACGTCTGTTACTCCCAATGGAGCATAGGCCACCCACCAGCATTCTCCAACCCACTCTGTTCTCGCACTTCCTTTCTAGTTCTATCCAGTTTTTGTTCATTCTTCTCATGTCTGTTTCCATTTCTCGATGTAATGTGTTCTTTGCTCTTCCTCTTCTCCTTTGACCTTCAGGATTGCGTCACATTATTGTGACGCAATTGGGTGGTTTCCTCAAAGTGTGCCCAATCTACTTCCAGTGCTTCTTCCTGATTTTTTTCTCTGCTCGAATCTGGTTTGCTGTCTCCCACAGTAGCTTGTTGCTGAGAAGTGACTAGAATTAGTTAGATACTTCAAGATTGAGCTATTGACTTACTTCTGTAATACTTTAGGAAGCCAGGGAGGATAATGTTCAGAGGTACTTATTTGTATTGAGGTTGATATTGTCTGTGAAATAATTGACTGATGTAAATTCACTAAAGCATTATGAACTATTTAGTGAACAGTCAGTTCGTGTTGTTTACTTGAATATTCCCAACGATGTTTAGGACTGCAAATGATCAGTCACTTCTCAATACATATGCATATTGTGCGTAGTGCCTTAATATAGCCTTAATTCACAAGCATTATATTCTGAGATGGATAGTGGCTAGAGGTGGAATCCAGAACGCACGTTTTATCCTATTTGGGAGTCGTCAGCTGCATGTATTTGCATATCAGAGTTCATGTTCACTCTGGGACTTGAAATCAGTACCGTTCACTTCAAATGCCACCGTATGATCCACTTAGCTATTGAGTCGTGATAGCCACCTTCTTTTACAATGAGATAAAGTTGAAATCTACCTGATATTGTTTAATTGAATCTTCCTAAAGATGGTTAGGTCTACGGTTGATGAGGACGAAAAGCGCATCCTGGATTCCATTGCTAGCCACTATCAATCTTTGCTTATTCAATGATCAATCAGTTGAGAATTCATTAAAAATTCTTATCGATTTATTCCCAAAATATATACGTGTGAAAAAAATATTCTACAAAAATTGCCTGTTCTATAAAATCTTGTTCAAAAGTCAATTTTCAAGTAAAATTGATGTTAACTTCAAAAATCATTAAAATCCAGAATTCATAAATGATCATATACCCATTTGTTCGTATTCCCCATATTCAAAGTCTTCAAGTGAAGGTGATACTTGAAAGACATAAAAATGATATAAATATCAAATAACTTGGAAGTCGAAGAATTTTTGAGTACATTCTAGCATACTATAATAAAAAGTATCAAAAGTGTTGTAAAATAAAGCTGTTTAATTATCGAACCATGGAAGTGGATAGAATACACATTGAGTCAAAAGACAAGCACTAACATGAAATCCTGAAGGCCAAAAGAAAAGAGGAAGATCAAAGAACATATTACTTCGAGAAATGTAGATAGACATGAGAAGAATGAACAAAAACTGGATAGAACTAGAAAGGAATGCTCAGAACAGAGCGGATTGAAGAATACTGATCGGCGGCCTATGCTCCATTGAGAGTAACAGACATAAGTAAGTAACTAAAGAAAAAAAACACATTCATTTGATATTAATTGTTCAAATGTTCCCAATGATGTTTAACATTGCAATTGATCAGTATCTTTTCATTAGGATATGGTATATGGTAGGTACATCTAGCTAACTAGTCGCAAATAAAACGAAACGTACGTCCTAGATTCTACTGCTAGTAATCAATTTATCTTTGTGTAAAACAGATGAAAACAGACAAAGATATAACAAAACTGAACAACAATTGAATAGAACTAGAAACGAATACTCAGTACAAAGTATCTTAGAGAATGCTGATCAACAGCCTATTCTCCATTGAAGATAACAAATATATTGAATCTATTCTTAAATGATTCAATACTTACTATTCTTTTGCTTCTTCTAATGCTATTAATTTAGCTTGTTTAGCAGCTAATTCAGCTCTTATTAATGCATCTTCAACACATTCTTTTAATTTAGTTTGACGTATTAAATGTAATTTATTTTTACGATTAATTTTATGTATTAAATTATTTGCATGAAATTGTCCTTCATCTTTTGTACCATTTGGATTAATTATAATACCATAACCATGTTTTTGATTACGTATCCATTCACCAATATAAATAAAACCATTTGAACGTTCAGCTATACCATAACCAGAACGTTGATCTTGAAACCATTCTCCTGAATAGATTTCTATTACACTAATCAATTGATTATTATGATTATGATCTGATTGATAATCAATAATATAATCAATATTTTGTTGATTGGATATTGAATTATTGATTTCATTTTGTTGTATTTGTTTTTTATTTGGCATGATATCATTTAGATTAGTCAATGGATTAGTATTATTAGTAGTATTAGTAGTAGTGGTAGTAGTAGTAGTAGTAGTATTAGTAGTAGTATAAGTAGTATGAGTAGTAGTATTGATTGAACGTCCTAATTCAATAGCAGAATGTTGTTTTTTTAATCGTCGCATAATAGCTCTACCAATGACAGCTTTACGACTCACTGGAATAGATTCTTTTAATGGTAAATTAATAATAGAACTACTATAATGTTTATCATTTAATTTAGGTGATTGATTAATCAAGTGAATTTTTCTCATTTGATCAATATTATTATTATTGAAATCAAAGTCATGTATAGGTTCTAATTGTGAAATAGGTGGTGGTGGTGTTGTTGTTGTTGTTGCCATGGTTGTTGTTGTTCCTGTGATAGGAGTAGTTGTTATAGTTTCAGTATTCATGGTTGTATTTGGTAAATGATCCGATGTATTTGTCTTATAACTAATAAATGATTTACGTACACCTAGACCATGACGAAATCCTTTCGACCAAGCACCAGCATAAATACCTATGATAGAGAGTAGGGAAAAAAGAGCATCAGGAATATAAACAAATAGAAGAATTCTATCAATAATATTGACAGTTTCAGTTATATAATATACCCTTATGGGCCAGGGTAATCTTGCACTGGTTTTCAGGAGAATCAGATACCATCCAGACTTTCAAGCAGCAACCCAAACAGTACAGCTTGATCCTATTTAACAGGAGAGCCTGACACTGCCCAGGCTTAACCCAAGCAGTATAACTCAATCCCGCCCTATAGGAGAATGAGATACTATATAAGATTCAACGCTACAATCCGAACAGTACAGCCCAACCACTCAGGTACCAAACACACTGGTGGACCAAATTCTAGCAATAATTGGGAATTATCAACTATAAAGATAATTCGTGCTTTTATGCTTTCAAAATTATTAACCGATAAAGAAGTATAGCTGCTCTCCGGTTTGCTGAAGTGATCGCAATTAAAAAAACAACTTAAACCGGATCTATGTATTCAAAAAGAGACAGTGATAAACTTATTACTACCCTGGTGGGAGGGAAAATCCAACTCATACGACCTCGTCGTGCCTCCTGGATCATGGAACTGTTTCCATGAACTAACGTGAGCGGTTAATCGCGGGTGGTGAAGATCGACCTTATAAACCACTCTATCAATACCCAAGAATGATTATGAATGTAACATAGAGTCATTGCTTAACTATTGAAGGTTCAAAAGAATGGCAAAATATGAGTCTGCCCAAACAAAAACAAAAAGACAAAAAAGTGGGTTGTGGGTTTTATGTAATGGTTCTGCGTAAGCAGTGCAGAAATAGCTATCCCGCCCCTGTAATTGTGCCGTGCTTCGATGTAGCACTATTCTCCAAAAGGGCCTACTAGACTTCATCATTCTATATGGATGGAAGGGGCACTACCCTGATAATCCACATTTTATTATCAGAGCAACCGTTCACCAAGACTGGTAGGTCCTGGGTTCGAATCCCATGAGGCGAAATCATGGACGCATACTGCTGAGAAGTCTCACAATAGAACGAAACTGCTGTCCAGTGCTTCCAGGTTTTCTTTGGTTGTCTAGTTTCAATCGACTCATGATCTCAACTATATAACAATCTTTATTCCTTAATTATTCTAACTAAAAGCATTTATCAATCGATTTTATATGTTATGAGAATTGGATATAGTCATTTTAAAAAATTTCTTTTCTCCATTAGCAACAAGTGAAGCGGCATATTTTTTTGATACATATTAACCGCCATTCAAGTTCAAGGTGAAAAGTTGACCTAGTTAGATTCAATTTTTTCAATGCAAATAAGTGAAATAAGAAAAATCTTTATTATTCTTTTCAATAACATTCTCCTTTTTTTAGGAAAAAAAATGAGACGGTTTAAATCATTTATAGATCAAAAGTGGTTTTGTGGAGAAGTTAGTATATTCATAGTTGAAATCATGAGTTAATTGAAGGTAGACAACCATTGAAAACCTGGAAGCACTGGACAGCCGTTTCCTTCTATTATGGGACTCCTCATCAGTACGCATCCACGATCTTGTTTCACGGCATTCGAACTCAGAACCTACCAGTCTCACGCCAGAGCACCGCTAGAGCCGTCACCAACGGTGTTAATGTCTAACTTCAAACAATCCACGATTTTGAGCAACCGTTCACCAATTGTCTCCAATGAGTTGATATCTCTACAACAGACTTGGTACAACTCTGCTGGTACCTGCTACCCACTAGAACTCAAGGAAATATCTCTTGAAGTCAGTCACTAGTGAGCATATGATTATAGATCAGAAAGAGTTTTGTGGGGAATATAGTGTTTTCATATGTGAAATCATGAGTCAGGTTTTCTATGGTGGTCTAGCTTCAATTGACTAATAAATCATTTATGTTTATTGGATTCAAATTTTGGTGGTTATTCGTGATTACTTACTTACTTGCTTTCGCTTGTTACTCCCAATGGAGTATAGGCCGCCGACCAGCTTTCTCCAACCCACTCTGTCCTCGCCCTTCCTTTCTAGTTCTATTCAATTTTTGTTCATTCTTCTCACGTCTGTCTCTATTTCTCGGCGTAATGTGTTCTTTGCTCTTCCTCTTCTCCTTTGACCTCCAGGATTCCATGTGAGGGCTTGTCTTGTGACGCAATTAGCTGATTTCCTCAAGGTGTGCCCAATCCACTTCCAGCGCTTCCTCCTGATTTCTTCCTCCGCTGGAATCTGATTTGTTGTCTCCCACAGTAACTTATTGCTGATAGTGTCTGGCCAACGGATCCGAAGTATCTTGCGTAGACAACTGTTAATAAACACTTGTATCTTCTGGATAATGGCTTTCGTAGTTCTCCACGTCTCTGCCCCATACAATAGAACTGTCTTGACATTTGTATTGAAAATTCTAACCTTGGTGTTGGTTGACAATTGTTTTAAGCTCCAGATGTTTTTCAGTTGTAAGTATGCTACTCTTGCTTTGCCGATCCTCGCCCTCACATCTGCATCTGATCCACCGTGTTCATCAATGATGCTGCCCAGATATGTATGCCCAGATATCTTCCAAAGCTTCTCCATCAAGTGTAATTTGATTGGTGCATATTGTGTTGTATCGGAGAGTCTTGCTTTTCCCTTTGTTTATATTGAGACCTACTGCTGCTGAGGCTGCTTCTACACTGGTCGTTTTCTCCTGCATTTGTTGTTGCGTTTGTGATAGAAGAGCCAGATCATCCGCGAAGTCTAAATCGTCAAGCTGCATCCTGCCTGTCCACTGTATCCCGTGCATTCCTCCAGATGTTGACGTCTTCATAATCCAGTCGATCACCAGGAGAAAGAGAAAGGGTGAGAGTAGGCAACCTTGCCTAACACCGGTCTTTACCTCGAACGAGTCGGTGAGTTGTCCTCCGTGGACGATTCGGCAGTTTAGTCCATCATAGGAGTTCCGTATGATATTTACTATTTTCTCAGGCACGCCGTAGTGTCGAAGAAGCCTCCATAGTGTCGTCCTGTCCACGCTATCAAATGCCTTCTCTTAGTCGATGAAGTTGATGTAGAGTGATGAATTCCACTCCATTGATTGTTCCACAATGATACGTAGAGTTGCGATTTGATCTGTGCACGATCTATCCTTACGAAATCCAGCTTGTTGATCTCGAAGTTGAGCGTCCACTGAATCCTTCATCCTGTTTAACAATACTCTGTTGAGAGGAGAGTGATGCCCCTGTAGTTGTCGCACTTGCTAAGATCACCTTTCTTTGGTATTTTGATTAGAAGTCCTTTTTTCCAATCTGTTGGTACTTGTTCTTCGTCCCAAATCTTACTGAAGAGGATGTGTAGTATCTTGTCAGTTGCTGCTACATTTGCTTTCAATGCCTCTGCCGGGATGTTGTCTGGTCCCGCTGCTTTGCCACTCTTGATTTGTCTAATGGCCATGCTAATCTCTTCAATTGTTGGTGGGCCAACATCGATTGGGAGGTCTGTGGGTGCTGCTTCGATGTTGGGTGGGTTCAGTGGAGCCGGTCGATTTAAGAGTTCTTTGAAGTGTTCTACCCACCTGTTTCGTTGTTCTTCAATGTCGGTGATTACTTTGCCTTCCTTGCTTTTCACTGGTCTTTCTGGTTGACGGTAATTTCCAGCAAGTTTCTTTGTTGTATCATACAGATTATGAAAGGCCTGGAACCTGTTGCTGAGGGCTATGTTGAATTTGTTGAGTTTGTCAGCATCTCGAAGAAAGGCCGTATTAAACTTTTGTGATGTTGTCCGCACCGTTGTCCAGTGCTTCTAGAGTTTTAGTTTCATCTTGGCGACCAGCAAATGATGATCGGATGCTATATCAGCTCCTCTTCTGGTTCTCACCAAAATGTAAATTGGAACTGAGGACTACTAACCAATTCATTACTGACTCAGAGATTTGGCGTGACTATAGTTTACAGATGAATCAATTAAATTTAAAATAACAGGTCTTGGATTTTTCGTGCGAAATTCATCCTTCCATTTGGTGAAAGAACATTTTGGGATTTTAGTTGAAAGCATTTCTTGATGAAAACCCTAAATCTAATTCCTAACCCCAACCATCAACTGTAAATCATAATTGTAATTCCTTACACTGATTTCTAACCCTGATATGGTCCTAGTTAGTAGATGGACATTCTCAAGTTCACTTTAACGTCACTCAAAAGTCGTCCATAAATTATAGTTTCACCAGAGATTCTTATCAGTTACTTATTATTCTGTTTAAATTCTAATCTACTGTACAACTCGTAACCGTCAGTTATTGAAATAGAATAATGTTTTGTATCTAGGTATTTACTTAAATGTTATTGAATGACTGTTTATATATCGATGTATGTTACATTTTGAACTAATTATCCCCCTCATAAACAATGTTTAAAGATTGATACTTAATAAGATAGCGTATGTTGATGGGGGTGTGAATTAAGAAATTCCCTAAAGAAAACAATGAGAATGCTCTTGCTTGTAATATTTGTGATTATGTTTATATATATCTTCTGTGTATATATACTTACTTACTTACTTACTTGCACCTGTTACTCCCAATGAAGCATAGGCAGCCGATCAGTATTCTCCAACCCATTCTGTCCTCGTCCTTCCTTTCTAGTTCTATTCAATTTTTGTTCATTCCTCTCATGTCTTCTCGTGTGTAAATTCTTCCTTACAGCTTAATTATATAATCAATTCTTAGATTACATACCTTTAGGTCCTGGGTTTGAATCTCGCGAGTGCTGGATCGTGGATGCGTATTACTGAGGAGTCCCATAATAGGACGAGACGGTCTTAAAACAGTGCTTCCAGGTTTTCCATGGTGGTCTATCTTCAAATGACTCATGATTTCAACTATGAAAAATGCTGAAATCTCCACAAAACCTCTTCTAACTTTATAGTTATTTCTCACAATATTCTTAACACATACTAAAGGTATCAGTATGAGGGTTTGTGAAGATTGTAGTATTTTAACAATTGAATTCATGAGTCCATTGAAGCTGGACCATCAATGAAAACCTGGAGGCACAGGATGGCTGTTTCATCCTAGTATGGGACAATATCCACAAATTTTCATTCAAATAACAACCGTGTGCTCACTAATGACTAGCTTCAAGATGTATCTCCTGAAGTTCTAGTAAGAAGCCGAAATCAGTGGGGTTCAATTAATGTTGGATATGAGGCAGTTATTCACGTCAGACAGGTGATATAGTGTTGCACAAGGCCATGGATCAACACCGTTGGATACCGGCTCAGTTGAGCCCAAGATTGAATGTTTTGTGTTCGATTCACGTATGCGGGATCGTGAATGTGCACTTCTGAGGAGTCTCATACTAGGACGGAAAGGCAGTTCAGTGCTTCCAGGTTTTCAATGATGGTCTATCATAAATGGAGTCATGATTGCAACTGTAAACATAGTAATATTATGATTATGATATAGCAACTATCCTACAACCAATTTCGATTATGGTTAATTTTGGTTAAGCCCTTTTATTAACTTACTTAACAGATAGTGTTATTCCAATAGTAGCAACTAGTCCATATTGTTGTACTGTAATGACCACTAGATCATATGACAGATTAGCTAAGATGTTGATCACTTAAATATCACTCGAAGATTCATCATCCTTCCCCATGTATATATGTACACAAATCCTATTGTTCTCCTTTGCCTTGCCACTCCGTCCAGCGGTCTAATGCGATTTGACTATAAATTTGCCTCTGTATTTGCTAACATAGAAATATCCGGCTCTCTGCTTCAAATTCGCTTAATGTTCTTATAGCTTTGTAATCTGCGTTATCGGCTAACAAACTGTAGTTACTGCTTCTCAATGCCTTCTTATTCTTTAAGTTTGAATAATCATAATGCTCAAAATATGTTTGATTCAATGAGTCAAAGCTTACTGTTAAAACTTTGCGACATTTATCTAATAACTAGCCACTAATGATCAGGTGATTATTGGTTTGCCTACTTTTCCACCGTGACTGTTAACTTAACGTGATAGTTGGGCTTGCATAGGTTTGTTGGCTGGAATACATATTAACTTAGTTATAACTATGTCAGTTTAGCCGGTTTCATGGTGTTATAACCAAAAATAGCAAACTCATTATCTGAAGATGGAGTCAAACTTTTGACCATACAGAGGTTTAGTCTCTTTCAGATAGCCAGAATTTGCAGAGATATTACCTTCTTGTTAGAATACTTTAGATCTAAAAGTACCATACCTCACTTTACGGTACAGACTATTAACGTCGGTATTATAATCAGTCTTTAATCATCGTCTCTGTGGCTTTGTGGTTAGTCTCCTAGTTAGTAAAGACTACACACTTAATCCAGTTTCTTTTACGGATCCCTCAAGAAGTATCTTTAGACAGAGCTAGGGATAGTTCAGAGAAAACTAATTCACTTTAGTTTACTTCGAAGGAATTCTTAGAAAAAAATCATATATAATTTCAAAAATTTATGTAACATAGACAATCTATAAATGATCTGTCATCTAACTCCTATCTATGATGAGAGTGATCTGAAAAGTGACTTGAGATCGCGTAAACTATACCTGAATATTAAATGGTTGGAGATGATCAGCAAGAAATTTTAGATATAGGTTTTACCCTAGCTGACACTTACCAGGTAGGCATACATTCAGTCTTCAGTAAGGAGTTCAAGATCCTCGTCTCTCACTGTTGTAGCCATAGTCAAAATATCATTACACTGTTCGGACCGGTATAATTTTCATTAACGATTACAGATATAAGCCTTCCCATAGTATCAACTAATATGAAACTCCTATCAGACAGAACGTCTTGATAATCAAAAAAACTTACCAACCCATTTCTGAAAAACAAACTGACTACCGTTCATCTAGATTTAGTATATTTTGGTATCATAGTAAATAAATATTAAATACATGTTTATCTCAAAAAACGATAACATACTTCCATCAGCGCATGTTTCAATTCCAAAACCTTCAAATCGATTTAAACTCCAACTACCTTCATATTTTGCTTGACTATTTGTTGAGGTTTTAACTCCATACTGACCAAAAGTGCCTGAATTAAATTCACCTTGATAAATCCATTTTCCTCTCACTTGAACACCATTACCATGACGTTTTCCTTTAATCCATGTACCAGCGTACATATTTCCATTTGGCCATAAATATACACCACATGTTTCAAAACCTAAATTCCATTCACCAGAATATTCACCAACACCATTTGGTCCTGTGGCTAAACCAAGTCCGTGTGCTGAACCTTGATACCAATTACCAATATAAGTACCACCATCATTAAAATCAAAACGTCCACCGTCTGTATCCATAGCGTTATAATTTCGTAAAAAAACTATCTATCTATGTATGCTTTTGTTTAAATGATATCAACGATTATCCATTGTATAATATCACAGTTGATTTCGAAGGTCTACATTGAGAATTTAATATTGTTTGTTTTAAGCACATTTCAATTTGAATCTATAATTTTAAACAAATATGAAAATCAGAAAGGATTGTTGAGGATAGTATAGTAATTTCATTGGTTAGGATTATGAGTCAATTGAAGCTAGACCACCATAGAAAACCTACAAGCACTGGATGGTTGTTTCGTCCTATTGCAGGACTCCTTAACAGCGCTCGTCCTGGGTTCGAATCTCTCGGGGCGCGATCATGGATGTGCACTTCTGAGTAATCTCACAATGCGACCAAACAGCCGTCCAGTGCTTCTAGGTTTTCCATGATTGTCTAGCTTCCATTGACTCATGATTTCAACTACTGAAATATCAAAGTTTTTGATATGTGAATATTGACAAACTTGAAAAACCTTTATTTACTGAATTCAATTAAATATTTCACATGGATTGTTAGTTTTACTAGCATCACAAGGTAAGTCCTCACATGGAATCCCAAAAATCAAAGGTGAAGAAGAAGGCCAAAGAACATATGACGGCGAGAAATGAAGACAGATATGAGAAAAATGAACAAAAATTAGATAGAACTAGAAAGGAAGGGTGAGGACAGAGTGGGTTGGAGAATACTGGTCGGCGGTCTATGCTCCATTGGGAGTAACAGTCGTAAGTAAATAAGTGTCATAGAAAGAAAACAATAGTTTATAGAGAAGGTAAAGGATATAGTGAAGTTCCTTTGATCACTGTTTATCTAAATTGTCAAATGTTTTATTCATTTTTCAGAGGGAAACTATAAAATGAATTATTGATTGTAAGGATGGTTCGTTGGTAAACTCATCCACGATCTCGCCTTGCGACATCTCCATGAAAAATCCCTTTATCAAATGCTCACTGGTGACAAGCTCCATAAGGTATTTCCTAGAGTTCTAATGAGAAGCAGTAACCAGTGGAATTTAACCAGGTCTGTAGAGAGATATCAACTCACTGAAGACATTAGTGAAATGGTTGCTCAACTTTTTGGATTGGTTGAAATTAGACATTAACACCGTTGGATACCAGTTCAGTGGTCTATCGGTTAAGTGTTCTGGCGCGAGACTGTTGAATCCTGTTTTTGCGAATCTCGTGAGGCGATATCATAGATGCGCACTGCTGAGGAGTCTCACAATATTACAAAACTTCCATCCAATGTTTTGAGATTTTCAATGGTGGTCTAGTATAAATGAATGAATGAATGGATATTAAACATAGGAAAGATCATTTCGATAATGTTTAATTAACAGTTGGAATTATTCTATATAAAGTACTAATTAAATAGAAAAGATGGAAATTCAATTATCAAGATATATGATGATCTTGACGTAAAAAAAAAATTGATTTCAAAAGCTACTTTATTCTATAACAGTTTAATGTTACTTTTATTCTGTATCACCTGGAGCAATAGAGGATTTATCTGAGGATTTTACGTTCACCTAAAGATATGAACTCTATAACTATACCATAATAAGAAGCTTAAAAAGTGTTATCTAGAAAGAGGAACAAAAGTTTATATCTTCCAGGATTATATGTTATTCGAAGAATGGGAATTTATTCAAATAATCAACCTAAAATAAAAATTTATCATTTGAAGACTATTTACATTATTGAATGACTTTAACCAGATAATCAGTGGTCAATGGTCTATTGGTTAAGGATTTCGGCTCGAGACTGTTAAGTCGTGGGTTCGAATCTCGCGGGAGCAGGATCGTGGATGCGCACTGATGAGAAGTCACATAATAGAACGAAACAGCTATCCAGTGCCTCCAGGTATTCGATTGTGGTCTAGCTTTAATTAACTCATGCTTTCAACTATGAAATCAACTATGTGTTCATTAATGAATAGTTTCTAGTTAGGTTACCAAATTTCTAGTTTGAAAATTGTTACAGATATAGTTAATTTGTTTTATTCTAGTTGTTATGACTTTATAAAAGGCGGTTGCTAATTCGTTATTGATTTTTATGTCCGACTATTTATCATGTGATTTATTCACTAATCGAAATACGACTTATTTAATCTTGTCATTTTTGCCATACCAATAACGCTCGACCGGTATGAGTAACCAATAGTCTTCATTGGTCCCTAGTCCGCCTAGTCCTTCTAATTGAGTACAGTAACATCATTTACAGCTTCCGTTATACAAATCATTTATTTCAAATATATTCGGTTTATATACTAGACAGATAGATAACATCACACCATAAAATAGAAAATAATATTTGTACAGGATCAAGTCAAATGTGGTTGTTAACGTGGTGATACAATAATCAATAAACTGAATATAATTTAGGGACAGTAATTTGTATAATAATAATCTATTGCTCAAAATAAAGTTTATAATAAGATGAATATAATCAGAAGGGGATTTGCGGAGTTTGCAGTAACTTGGAAGCACTGCTTTATGGCTGTTTCTTTATATTGTAGGACTCCTTAGCAGTGCACATCCCCAATCCCACTTCTTGACAGTCGAGTTCAGGATATACCAGTCTCGCGGGCGAGCGCTTAATCACTAAACCACTGAGCCGGCATCCAATGACTTTAATGTTTAACTTCAACGAATCCACAAAGTTGAGCAACCATTTCATAAATGTCTTCAATGAGTTACTATCTGCCAACAGACCTGGTTGAATTCCACTGATTACTGCGTCTCACTAGAACTCCAGGAAATATCTCTTGAAGTCAGTCACTAGTGAGTATATTATAATTATCAGAAGGGAGGTTTTGTGGAAATTTCAATAATTGTGTAGTTGACATCAATAGATTTTATCATCATTATTTCACTATTTCTAAGATGGTGAAGAAAATTGGTAGCTCAGGTGGATGATTTTGATGGAGTTTTATTCTCCAGATCAGAGAACAAAACTTCCTCCAAAAAAAAAATTCACAAATTCTCTCTATTATTTTTACATTTAAAATATTTTGACAGTTGTGATCATGAACCAATTGAAACTAGACCACCATGGAAAACTTGGAAGCACTGGAAAACCGTTTCGTCCTAATATGAGACTCATCAACAAGACGGGATAATAAATCCACACTCCTGAAGAATATCATAATAAGACGAAACGGCTTTAAAGCAGGTCTTTCAGATTTTTCATGGTTGTCTAGCTTCAATCGACTCATAATCTTAACTATGAAAATTATTATATTATCCACAAAACCCCTTCACATTTATAATATTGACATTCAATCATATTTTGACTATTGTATAAACCACCTTTGAAAAATAATTTGATTTATCATATCACTTTTGAATGATCAGAAAGGTGAAAAAATAGGAACAAAATATAACTATTCATGAATAGACTTAGTATTGTTTGTTTGGATCTTCCCATCGATGTGTTTAGGACTGCAACTGGTCAGTCCCTAATTGGCATATGTGCATACTGTGCGTATTGCCTCGATATACCTTAATTCACAAGCATGGTATTCATGCTATTCATGAATAGTATTCGATATATTCATACTAAGCATAGTTATTTGCATTTATATATTTATGTGAGTGTGTGTGTGTGTGTTTATGAGTTACTATGTGGATATGTTCACCCGAAGGGATTGGCATAAGAATAATAAGCCAAAACAAATGTTCTTCATTTAAGTAATTCTAATGTATGTATATACTCTTTTTTTATGATTACATAATCAATGATAGAAAAGATTTATTATGGATAGAAATACTTTAGAGATTGAATACTCAAAATGAGAATAGGGGGGGGAATAGATGAAGGAGAAACAGTATCTAGGATAGAGTAGGTGTGTAAGAGAGATAGAGAGGGATAGAGTTATGAAACAACTGATCGATTCAATCTGATTACAAATTGAATAAGAAAAGGTAAGATAAAAACTAACTTAGTTAAATACCAAATATTTCAATCATTAGGCTACCTCATTATATAGTTGAAAGCGTGAGTCGATTGAAGCTAGACCACTGTGGAAACCTGGAAACACTGGACGGCCGTTTCGTTCTATTATGGGACTCCTCAGTAGTGCGCATCCATGATCCCACTCTCGCGAGATTCGAACCCACGACCTACCAGTCTCGAGCCAAAGCCCTTAACCGATAGACCACTAAGCTGGGTTCGAATCTTGCTAGAGCGGGTTTGTGGATGCACACTGCTGAGGAGTCCCATAATAGGATGAAACGGCCGCCCAGTGTTTCCAGGTTTTCCATGGTGGTCTAGCTTCAATTGACTGACGCTTTCAACTATGAAAAATTCTAAATCTCCACGAATCTCCTTCTGATAATTAATACCTCATTATATGTACATTAAATGCTTTCGAGATGATGTACTTTAACTTTAAAACATAAACGATAATGTATGAATAGATGTTAATAAGTAGAAAAACATACTCACAACAAAAGCCATAATCAAGAATCTTTTATTGTTTAACTATTAGAAAAAAAAACAGTACTGAACAGTTTTAGACCATACGGAAACAGTTCTCTCATAGCAGTCCATTAATATTAAATGTCAATCTATGATTGTATAAGATACAAATTATTTTTAAATTTCTTCATAGTTGAACAGGAGTCTTCAGGAATAATCGATTAAATCAGTGCAAATTAGATTGTATACACTAAATGAAAGAGAAATTAAAATTTAATATGATGATATGATGGAGAAACTTTAGAAGAGGTGGAAACTTTCACATACCTAGATAGTATGATCGATGAAGGAGGAGGATCGGATTAATGCGTAAACGTAAGGATTGGCAAAGCAATGATAGTATTACTACAGTTGAAGAATATATGAAACTGAAAACAATTGTCAATCAATATCAAAGTTATAATCTACAATACCAATGTCATGACAGTCAGTTCTACTCTGTTTAGCTAAGGCTATGACAACTTCACAACAATCGTCGAAAGGTCGAGTCTTTATGAATAATTTTCTACGTAAGATACCCAATAGCCGTTGACCGGATACCATCAAGAACGGCCCACTATACGAGAGAACAAACCAGCTTCCAGTTGAGGAGGAAATTAGGAAAAGAAATTAGGAGTAAATAGAACATACATTGATTAAATCATCAAA